TCTTTCCAGCTTCTGAGTCATAGCTGAACACTGAGTGGTCAACCTGGCATTGTTTCATTCCAAAATTCTTCACTTCACTAAACTTCCCGAACCAAGCACGAGGCGATTGTTTCAACCCATAAATTGCCTTTTTCAGTCTGCACACCTCTTGAGGAGCTTTAGGAGGACTTCTTTCAATGTGGAAAAACAAGGAGCTAGAAGGAATTCCATAGTGATACACCTTTTTTAGTTGCAATTTTCAGAGAGTTGAATCTATGTGTCTGCAATCACTCCTCTCATTGCCAAGAGCCTCCAAGCCGTCTTTGGCCTGCCTCAGCCATTTTTGGGTGCACTATCCATGCCTGCAGGAACCTGATATCCAGTTGAACATCCACCAAAGTTGAGTTCGACCATGCCAGGATAGAAAGGAGTTGAATATAGATGAACACTTGGTTTAGGACATAACAAGTTTAACTCTTTGTCAAGGCATCAATTTTGAAACCCATGTAGTCATAGTAGTTAGCCAGTGATTGATAGCTGTTTTTATTCTGATAATCAGCATTGAACATCCAAGGTGATAGGGAAAAATCCCAAAAGGCCTGGAATTTCTTTCTTGCTTCTGCAGAAATTGGTGAAAAATATAAATCTACATAGTAAGTTATCCTTCTTCTGAAAGGCACCATTTACCCACTCCAGAAGAAACTTAAGATGTTTCCTTGGAACACCAACTGCAAGCCAAGATCCAACAGTTTTGGATAGCAACCATCCACAAAAAATCTTTGATTTTGCCGTGCCAAATTACATTGGAAGGGAGAACTTGCACAGAAGGTGGGTGTTATTTTGAACAAGGGAAAAACTGAAAGGTGAATCTTAATCTGACTGAATGGAAAAGTGATACATAGGGAGAGCTCAAAGTGGCTTTCAAGGGGAAAAGTAATCCAATATATCTAATTGGTGTTTGATCAGTTGACTTACCATATATACAAAAGAGAGACAAAAGAAGTGCCTGTGGCATAGGTGAAGTAGTATATGATAATACTCCTACTGAGATACATCAGACGTGCAGTACATGTACATCAAAATGAAAATGTATTTGCTGGTAATGATAGAATTACCACCATAATGTGCCCAACCATTTATATAGTGTTTATATACTTTTCCATAGGCCAAATTTCACGTCATCCTGAATATTTACTGGCTTGCTCTCTCTCTCTCTCTCTCTCTCTTTTATTTTGGTAATTTGTTGTTTTTCAATAGTGAATGCAATTGGATATCTGTCTTTTCTGAGAGCAGCTTCTGACCCTTATGCCTTTTGGCTGAGAAGATATGGGATGTAGGGAGTGGAAGGCTAAAGCTCACATTAACTGGGCATATTGAACAAATACGCGGTTAGTTTCTTCCTAGTAATTGTATTGGATTAAATTGCAATCACATGACATGGCATATGCTTCTGTAGAGTATGGTATGTAAATCAGTTATAAGAATAGTAAGAATTTATTTGTCTTTAGGCCTTGCTGTGAGCAACCGCCATACTTACATGTTCTCTGCGGGTGACGACAAACAGGTTAAATGTTGGGACCTTGAACAAAACAAGGTTGGAAATTAAATTTTCAGAATGATTTTAAGATTTTCAGTTTTTAGTTATTTATATACATAAATCTGTGAGTATGGTTTCTTGAAATTATTGCTCCTTGTGCAGGTTATACGGTCGTATCATGGGCATCTAAGTGGTGTGTATTGCTTAGCTCTTCATCCCACTATTGACATTTTGCTTACTGGGGGACGTGATTCTGTCTGCCGGGTATGAATATATCTCTGATCATTCACTGTTACCAGTGCATAATATTCCTTTGTATTTCAAGCTAATCATTCATATGAAGCAAGAATGTCTATGGTACATAGCTTGGATTCAAAATTAAGTAAATTGATGAACTGATGAATATAAGCTGAGAAGTTTATTCATATGTTCTAACACAGCTTGAAAAATTTTCAGGTCTGGGATATTCGTACTAAGACGCAGATTCATGCTCTTTCTGGCCATGATAACACAGTTTGCTCAGTTTTTACTCGTCCCACTGTATGTGAATCATTTTACAAATAGACAATAATAACCATATCTAGAATTAGCACAAATTCATCTGCACTTCTCTTTAGATTGCCTCTATCTTGAAGTGCATAGTTTCATCTCAGCGTTCTTGATATTTCAATACTATCTTGATACTGGATGATGCCTTGTGTGTTTGAATTCCTTGTTCTCTTCTAAATATAATTGACCTTTTCAGGTCTTCCCTCCCCCTCTTTTTCTTTTTCTGTATGATTTAAAACTTAAAGCAATAGAAAGGTCACTTCAACTTGTTATATATAAAAATGAAGACTAGGATCTAAAGATCATAACATGAAAATTCACCACTCAAAATTGCAGCCTTTGTGGTTCAATCTAGTGAACGTCTAAATTGAGGGAAAATTTATCATATGCAAAATCAATCATCCTTGAGCTATTACATGTTTTAAGTCTTTTTCTTTGGTTGATAAGATGATATTTCATTAAGTAGAAGGATGGGTCTCCATTTACAAAGAAGCAAGACATTGTCATATACACTTTGCCATGCCATTCCTATTCGACTCTTTTGTTTCTTCTTATGCTTCCATTTGATATTGTGGTTAAACTCTTCTTTCTTCTTCTTATTTGTTCTTGTTGAATTGCTGTTTTATCCTTAGTTCTATGTTTTATTTGTATTATTCTTGTTCTTATTTACTTTAATGTTACAGGGGTATTGTGGTCTTTTCTCTCTTTTTATTGTATATCTCTTATTATAAATAGAATATCTGGTCCCGTTGGCCCACCTTTTTGGCTCCATTTGATCTTCTCTTCTCCCTTCTCTTCTCTTCTTATTCTCTGATCTCTGACAGCATAATATGGTATCAAAGTGGATCTTATTGTGAGGAGGAGCACTCAGTTACTGTTTTTCAGCATCAATCATGTTTTCTGGAGTGGGAATCTCAGGAAGACTCAATCAACTGGAGAGAACTTGATCTGATCTCCCCTTTTTCCTTTTTCTTTTCCTTCTTGGTCACTAGCACCAAGAGAACCCTTTTTGGGTGTGACTGAATGCTGTAGACAGTGGGTTGAAGTGTTTCAGCCCTTCCATGTGGATTGTGTGATCCTGTAACAGTAGATTGGTCTCTGTTCCAGTCCTCCTATGCAGTTGTATGATGCTGTAACAGTGGGGACTCTTCTCCTAAGCCTGGTTTGTGATCGTTGTAACAAGTTGCAGAGGTCTTTTGCTGACATATATTGCGAATAGACTGTCAAAGTCCTTATTCAATCAGTTTTTGGTGATTCTTGAATGGAGGGAAGTTGAAAAACTGAACTCTAGTGTGGGAGAAGTTGAAGTACCAGGGGACCGTACTGTTTGTCTTTCCTTGGGTTCTTTGGCTGGTAGTGTGATATGAATTGTCCTCTTCACGAGATTCAGCAACCTCTAGTATGACTTTCGGACAAGGTGGGCTGGGTGGGTGGCTAGACATGAACTTTCCCATGGCTTTACTCCCTTGGATGGAACTAAGGAACCTAGAATAGTCAAAAGGTATTAAACTCTATGTTACTGCAAAGGGAAAAATAGGGTATATCAGTGGGAAAATTAAGGATCTGAAGTCTGGAAATGCTGAACATGACAAGTGGGACCAAGAGAATAGCATGGTAATGCTGTGGCTTTTAGTATCTATGCTGCCACAGGATAGAAGAAATTTTATGTGGGCTGACACGACTTATGAGATTTGTGAACAAGCAAAATATACTTATTCTGAGCAGTGGCATTACGCAAAGATCTACCAGTTACAAGCTGAATCTGCAACTTGTAAGCAAGGGAAGAGGAGCTTTTTTGTGTATTACTTTGATCTGACTTCAATCTATAAGGAGTTGGACCATTACAAACATATGAACTGGAAATGTGATGAGGATGCCAAAGCCTAGAAATCTTTGGTCTCTCAGCAACGTGTATTTGCTTTTCTGTTGGGGCTGAATCCTACAAATGAGTCTATCAGAATTCAGATATTGGGAAGCAGGACCTCCCTTCAATTCTAGAGGTGTATGCTGTGGTACAGTTGGAAGAAAGCAGAAGAATGTCAAGTAGTCCTTAGGGGGAGTCGATTGCTTTGGTAGTTTGGCTGTTAGGGGAGGTGCAAATTCTGTGAAGAAGAATGATTCTCAAAAGAAAGGTGATGACAAAGATAAGTTGTAGTGTACTCATTGTCAGTGGCCTAGACATGCTAGGGAGAATTGTTAGGATCTTATTGGGAAACCAAAGTGGGCTCAGGAGTTGAACAAGAAGTTAAGGTTAGATCAAAATAAGAAATCTGGGCATAGGGGTGCAAATGGATCATATCATGGTCCGATCCAATCCAATCCAAAGTCCAATCTTTTTTGTTGGATTTGGATATCCCCATTTTGGATTGGATTGGGTAATAGGATCTGATTAAAAATCGGATCGAATTCGGATCACACCCTATTCGATCCAAAAGGATACTATCCGATATGTGTGTGTGTTATATATAACATATATATGTTATTATTTATTTTTTATAAAAACATGTATATATATGATGAAAATAGTTGAAAAAATACTTTTATTTTTTGTTTTCTTTATTCAAACTGTTATATTTTCTTTTTCCTTTTAATATTTTTTAAAAATTAAATAGGATTGGATTAGATTCGGATATCCGACATCCTTATTGGATTCAAATTTGAATCAATGTTTGTGAGATCTTATCAGATCTTCAGATTGAATCAGAACCTACCGTTTATATTATTGGATCGAATTTGGATACGCCCTGATTCAATCCATTTGCATTCCCTATCTGGGGAACCGTATTAGGATTGTCTTATAGGACAAAAGAAGTATACCTCCACAAGTATGGCTTCCTAGGAGGTAGGAGTAGACCAATGGTTCACATGTGAGTACTCCCTAGGGTCGTTTTTCTAGTTTAGATCCCAAGGAAGATTTCATCAATGCCTTTCGTGACCATTTGGAATTGTATGGTAGGGCATTGCGTTAGATGGATTCTGGTCCCACTCCTTTGACTTCCTTTGCATCTACATCTAGTAACATTGCCTCTATTTTCTATATATTTTCCCAATCTTCATAATCTCTTTGGATTATTGATTTTGGAGCCTCCAACTACATGATTGGTAAGCTCGCTTTGTTTCAGTCTTATACCTTTTTGATAGGGAAAAGGTGAGACTAGCTAATGGGTCCTCTTCCATTGTTGGTCAAGGATCTATTTCTCTGCCTTTTGGTTCGCCCCTTTCAAATGTGCTTCATGCTAGGGGTGAGCAAAAAAAAACCAAACCGACTGAAACCGAACCGAAAAATCGGTTAACCGAACTGGTCAATTCGGTGTTTCTAAAAAACCGAAGGTACTAGTTCGGTTTCGGTTAACCAATATAGAAACCTAGCGGTTAACCTAACCAATCGGTATACATATATTTATATATATTTATGTATACTATATGTATTATATATATTTTATATATTATAAATTAATAAATATGCATTATATATAAATATATATTTATAATTTTTTATTATATATTTATAATATATTTTGTAAAAATTAAAAAACTGAAAAATTGGCAAATTGAACCGATGGTTAACCAAACTGGTCAACCGACTAGCTTCGGTTTGGTTTCGGTTACCAGTTTTCCAAAAACCGGTAGTACCGATTCGGTTCCAAAAAAAGCCCCACGGTTCGGTTAACCGAACCGTGAGCACCCCTACTTCATGCTCCTAACTTAGCTATTAATTTGTTTTCTTTTAGTAGCATTGCTCGTTCTTTAAACTCCTCAGTGACTTTTCTCCTTCATTCTTATGTATTTTAGGATTTGGCTTCTAGGAAGGCAAGAAGATGGTTGGTAGAGGGAACTTGGTTGATGGTCTCTACATGTTGGAAATAGAGTTGGTCTTGTGGCTATAGAGTCAATGAGTCAATCCCTTGTAAGTCGAGTCTATTTGTGGCATAACCGTCTTTGTCATGCGTCTTTTGAGTCCTTAAAACTTTTGTTTCTGGAATTATTTAAGTCCATGACCATAGATGAGTTACAATGTTAGACGTAGTGCTTTAAAAGGCATGGGAGGCATATGCCTGGAGGCGTGCCTCCATGCAAGGCACCCCCAAAACAGCCTAAGGCGTATGCTAGAGGCACTGGCACCTCTGAGGTGTACGCCTCAGGTGTAAGAGGCGTACGCCTCATATGCTACACCTGAGGCGTACACCTCGTATGCTTTTTTCATGAGGCGTGCTAAAGGTGTATGCCTCATGTGCCTCATGGACACCTTATATAAAGAGAAAGGGAAGGGAAAGAAAAAGAAAGAGAAAGAGAAAGAGAAAAAGAAAGAAAAGATAAGGAGAAAGAAAGTTGGTTGGAGGCTCTGCCTCCAGACCCCCTTTCAAAATCCAACTAGTGCTATGCATCTTCATTCTTCTTAATATAAAAGATTTTTATTAAAAATAAAGAAAATTGAGATCCTCCTTCCTCTTCTTCCTCCCCATCCCCCTCCTCTTAAGGAGGCTTATGCCTCTTACGCTCTAAACCGCCTCATGCCTCTAGGTAGTGGAACGCCTCGCATCACACCTCCACGTTTTAAAACACTAGTTAAATGTATCAACTAATTAAGCATTGTAGAAGTTCTTTTCCATTGAGAAATAAAAGATCATATTTCCCTTTTCATATTGTGTATTTTGATGTGTGGGGTCTTGTTATTCTACCCTCTTAGACTAGCTACAAATATTTTATCACACTTATCGATGATTACTCCAAATGCACATGGGTTTATCCGATGCGTTTCAGATTGTGAAAGATTTCCAGCGTATGGTTTTTACCTAGTTTCAAATTGAGATACAAATCTTTTAGTCCGATAAAGTAAAAGTATATTTTCATGGAGACCTTACCAAGTTCTTTGTTGCATGTGGACCTCTTCACCAAAGCTCTTGTGCGAAGACACCTTAACAAAATAGTATTGCTGAAATAAAAAATCTTCTTCTTGAAGTTGCTCAGGGTATGTTAGTGTACATGCATGTCCTTATGACCTTAAGTGCTTTTGGGTGGATGTTATGTTATCTGCTGGCTATGTTATTAATCCCATGCCTTCTTGGTTGTTGGAGTATGAGACCCCACACCAACTCCTCTTCCCTAAGGATTAGTTGTTTTCGTTTCCTATATCTGTGTTTGGAGGTTGATATTTTGTTCATGACCTGTCTTCCACAATGGGATTTCCTTTGCAAGGGGACAAAAGGTCCAAGAAAGATTCACCTAGTATGATGGGAGAAAGTTTGTAGGCTAAAAGCTTTCAGGGGGTTTGGGTTTAAGAAGAACAAAACTACTCAACAATGCTCTTTTGGGGTTATGGAGGTTTGGGTTGGATAAGGAAAGGGACTCGGTATGAAAAGAGTGGTGGCAGGAAAGTATGGAGTGGTGAGATTTGGATGGGAAACAAGGGAGGTTTCTAAACTCATATGGGGTACGAGTGTGGAAGGGCATAATGAGCTTTAACCAGGACTTTAGAGGTTTGGTTAGCTTTAATGTAGGAGTTGGGTCTAGAGTGAGATTTTGGGAGGATGATTGGAGTGGGGTTGGGAAATTTTGTGATATTTGCCCAAGGCTGTACAGACTGACTGAACATCATGTCTCTGTGGCCCAATGCTATGAAGTGGTGATAAGGTGGTTTGGAGTCTTCAGTTCAGAAGACCCCTGCGCGACCAAGAGCTGGAGGAATGTGTTCTATTGCTGGATAGGCTGGAGCAGATTCGGATTTCCACTGATTGTGAAGATGGTCTGTGGTGGAAGGAGAGAAGGGATGGAAGATTTACAGTGAAATCTTTCTATTTGAAACTCATCAAGGATAGTGTAACTAATGATCAGGTGCATGGAATTTGGGGCAACTCAATTCCTCCAAGAATTGAAGCCTTTGCATGGTTGGCTGCAATGGATAGCATCCTCACAATAGATCATCTGAAAAGTAGGGGGTTTTGCTTGGTGAGCTACTGCTATATGTGCAAATCAGATGAGGAAACTGTACAGCACTGACTCTTCTCTTGTCACTTAGCAAACTGTATCTGGAGTTACTACTGTTCTCTCTTTGGGAGGCCTATCTTCCAACCATCTTCTTCAGCAGAGGTCTTCTCTTCTTGGCCAAAGTATAGAGGAAGTCTAAGAGCTAAGATTGTCTGGAGCTGTATCCCCTTTGCAGTTTGTTGGTCTTTGTGGGGGTAAAGAAACAGGAGGTTGTTTGAAGGAAAAGAAAGAAGGACTGAAGAGGTCGTGGCTTCAGTTGGCAAACTAGTCACAATCTGGGTCATTACTCTACCAGAATTTGAACAAATCAGATTTTCAGATTTTGCTGATAACTTTTGGGAATTGTTAGAGATTCAAAATTGTAATGTGAATCAGTTAGTCTAAACTGATGTTGGATGTTTGCTTCTTTGTAAGGGGTGTCACCTAGACAACTGATCAGCTTGTATCTTGTTTTTGTTTTAATAAAATTTTATTCTTATTCTTCAAAAAAATAAAAATAAAAACTTGATCCTAAAGCCATCCCCTATGTGTTTGGCTATTCCTCTTCTCAAAAAGGCTATAAGTGTTTTGACCCTATGCCTTGTAAGTAATATGTATACATGGATGTATCCTTTCTTTGAGTTTGAACCCTTTTTTTCTGTTTCTCCTTAGGGGAGAGTGGGGTTGAGGAGAAACTGGTTCAGGTTCAGCCTCCTCCTCTTCCCGATCCTCCCCCCTTTTGTGTCTTCCTCTATCGTCATAAGGGTCAACAAAGTTCAAGAGCCGTGGATCAACCTAAAGCCATGTGATCGATGTCATTGGATTCTCCGGGGGAAGATCCTCCTCAGCCAAGTACTCCCATCCCTATTAATGTTTCTGATCCTATTGATATTGATATCCTTGCTACTAGTGATCTGGACCTTCTTATTGCCCAAAGGAAGGGTATTAGATCTTGTACCACCAATCATCCTAACTCACATTATGTTTCCTATGAAAATGCCTCACCTTTCTTTCGTTCTTTCCTCTCTTCCATTGACAATGTCCCCATCCCCAAAACTATTGAGGCTCTATCTATTCCTGAATGGATAGATGCAATGAAGGAAGAAATCAATGCCCTGCATAAGAATGGCATGTGGGAATTGGTGGATCTTCCAAAAGGAAAAGAACTAGTAGGATGTAAGTGGATGTTCTTAGTGAAGCGTAGGGCAGATTGTATGGTGTAGAGGTACAAGGCAAAGTTAGTAGCCAGGGGTTGACAAAGGTGGCCAAAGTGAATTCCATTTGAGTTCTACTTCCATTGACAACTAACTAACTTGGATTGGGATCTTCATGAGTTTGACATAAAAAATGCTTTCTTAAATGGCAACTTAGGGGAAGGGGTTTACATGGTTTAGCCCTCTGTGGTTGTACAACAGATGGGGTTTAAGCAGTCAGACCGCACCTCTCTTTGTGAAGAGGGGCAAGGAAAATTTTCAATTTTGATGGTGTATGTTGATGACATGGTGATCACAGGTGATTGGATCTCATAAACACAGATTGAAGGAGTTTTTGGCTACTTAGTTTGAAGTGAAAGATTTGGGACCCTTGCATTATTTCCTTGGGATTGAAGTCTCCCAATTTTAAGAAGGGATCTTCATCCCCCAATGAAAATACATCTTAGATCTCTTGGATAGGGATGCAAACGGATCGGGATGGATTCGAATTAAGGTATATCCGAATCCGAATCCGATCCGATCCGATAGTACAAGCAGAAGATCCGATCGGATCTTACAAACACATATTCAAATTCGAATTCGTTAATAATGTCGGATATCTGAATATGATCCAGTCCAATTAATTTCTGAAAATTAAAAAAAAAAATAACAGTCTATATAAAGAAAAAACAAAATTTTCAACTAGTTTCATCATATATATACATGTGTTTTCATAAAAATAAATAAATAATATAAAAAATTACATAAATGCAATATAAACATATATGAATAAATAGACAATATATATGTCAGATCAGATCGGTTCTTTTTTGGATCAAATAAGGACTTATTCAAATTCGATTGGATCCTATTATCTGATCTGATCTGATCCGAAAATCCAACAGGAGTATATCTGAATCTGACAAAATAGGATTGGATTTCAGATCAGATCTGATCCATTTGCACCCCTAATGTTGGAGGACACTAGTAAGCTTGGATCAAAGCTTGCTGATACTCCCATCGATGCAGATAACAGGTTGGATGATTGTAGTGGTGATCCTATAAAAGATGTGAAGCAGTACCAGAGGCTTGTGGGAGATTTTTATACCTATCCATGACCAGACCAGATATTGCCTATGTTGTGGGTATACTTTAACCAATTTATGCATGCACCTAAGATTGCTTACTTGGTGGCTGCAGAGAGGGTTCTCAACGATCTTAAGGAGTATTCTAGAACCGGGCTGTTATTCAAGAAAAGTGATAACTTAAAGGTTGAAGTGTACACAAATGCTTACTAGGTTGGGTCGGTTGATGATAGGAGGTCCTCCAGTCAGTATTGTACTTTTATAGGAGGTAATTTAGTCACTTGGAGTAAGGAGAATGTAATAGCTAGATCCATTATGGAGGCCGAGTATAGGGCCATGTCTCATGGAATTGCAGAGATCTCGTGGATAAAGAATTGGGTGAACTAGGGTTTGACATTGATGGCCCTATGTCACTTTACTTTGACAATAATGTTGCCATTAACATTGCTGTCAATTCAGTGCTACATGACAGGATGGAGCACATAGAAGTGGATAAACACTTTATTAGAGAGAAGCTTAAATGTGGGGAAGTGTGTACTCCCTATGTGAGCTCCAACTTGCAGATGTGTTTACAAAAAGGCTTCATCACCTGCAGCAATAGTGATTTCTGTGACAAGTAGGGTGAGTGTTGCATTGATGTTTTATCCTTAGTTTTATGTTTTATTTGTTTTATTCTTGTTCTTATTTACTTTAGATGCAACAAGGGTATTTTGGTCTTTTCCCTCTTTTTAGTGTACAGCTCTTATTGTAAATAGAATAGCTGGCCTCGCCAGTCTATCTTTTTGGCTCCATTCGATCTTCTCCTGTTCTCCCTTCTCTTCTCTTGTAATTCTCTGATCTCTGATAGCAAGCATAATAGTTATGATAGTTAATCCAGAGGCTTACAAGTCTTCCTTTTCTTTAGTTAATGAATACTGAAGATTAGGGACAACCATCAAGATGTAAAAGGAGTTTATTAATAACTAGAGTAAGCATTATAGCTATCTGTTTCTAAGTCATATGTTCAATATTATAAATAATAGGCTAGGCAAGTCATTTTGGACTTTTCATATATGTGATGCCATGCATGTTTCTGATTTTTCTGAAGCAAAATTTGGATTTTATCCATTATTTGAGGTGAGTGACATTGAAATCTTGATACATGGGCTCAAAAAAGTTTGAGGAAAGTTTGAATTCTGTTGAAGCTTTGATTTATTTTGGGCTGAAATTCCAACTCAAAATTGAAAAAAAAAATTATGGCAGGCTACATTATGAAGGATAAGATCATAACAATGATGTCAAATACTTTAGATATTTCATATCAGAAGCAATCTCTAATTTCATATCAGAACCAATTTTTCTTTGTAAAAGCTAGGATAGTTTCTAGAACTGGCACCTTTGGTTATATGAATCTGTGGGGTGATGAATATTGAATATGCTAATTAGCACGTCATAGCACTTGATGAGAAAAGCGGAAATTTCAGATTTGTGATCAAACTTATTTTTCTAACTCTGTCTTCAGGATCCACAAGTTGTTACTGGATCTCATGACACAACTATCAAGTTCTGGGACCTTCGTTATGGTAACTGTTTACATTTGGTTTCATTCTGTTTTCTCAATCAATTGCTTACTTGCCCCCTTCTTATAGGAAAAACAATGCTGACACTCACACATCACAAGAAGTCTGTTCGAGCGATGGCACTTCATCCTAAAGAGTATGTACCTAAACATGTAATTTGTGCCTTATTGCATAAACAACTCTTATTGGTAAATGTTTTCTTTGAAAAAAAGAACTGTACTATTACTTCTGCTTGTTCCCCACGGACTGAACCCCCAAATCCCCCAAACCATCATCTTCTTTCTTTTACTTGCTTGTGAAAATGGTCTTCTTTGAATTTCAGGAATTGTTTTGCATCTGCATCAGCAGACAACATAAAGAAGTTTAACCTTCCAAAAGGAGAGTTTATGCACAATATGCTGTAAGTTATCCAAAAATTCCCCCATTTAAGGATACTCTTCCACTCCTTAATACTTAATGATACCAATTTTTTGGTTCTATAAAATATTTGGTAATGAGTTATTTTTAAACTGTCTAAAAGAAGTTCAAAAAATGGTGCCTTATAAGACCTGACCATGGATGAAAATGACCTTTTATTGGTACTGAAGACTGAGGACTTTGGTAGTAGATTACTACCCACTACAGGTGTCTCTTTGACGGAAACACAACCTCCCATAGAAGAGGAGGGAGAAAAGAGAAGTGAGAAAAAAAAATTGATCTTGCTTCTTTCATCAAATCAAGCCTTGTATAGTTGGCTGATTGTAACAACTTACGATTAGATTTGTGTGATGGCTGTGGGTAGAGGATAATGAACTTCTTCAGTTAGTTGGGCTCACGGGGCCTTATAGAATATACTTTTGTGATGGCTGGTTGAGCAGGTACTCCTGGGCCTTAGGTATCTGTGTGGCCTGGCCCATTACTCATATGGGCCCTATCAAACTTGAACAGAAGCACAATAATTTAATTTATACCGGCATCAACCCTGGATTATTTCTAGGATTGATTTGCGACCATTTCTTAAGAGAAAAGAGGACATATGGATAAAGGTACACTTAATGGACCTTCACAAGTGTGTAACAGCAAAAGAAATATAAGCCTATTTGGGAGGAGAAAATTGTGAAGTGTAATTCAGATTCATACATTGAATAGTATTTTAGAGGACCTATAGTGTCTAGTCCATTGAAGATACTATTTTTTTTTATAAGTATCCATTGAAGATGCTATTAATTGATTTCTAGTTTACTCTGAATCGAAGAGATCAGCATATTTGCTTTTTTGCTTCTTTTTTCTCCTTATTTTCCTGATATAAGGCACATTAAAACTATTGGCAAAAAAAGGCACATTGAAACCACACTCTACTCTGTTAAATTAATTGTTTGGCATCTCTTAATATCATAACCCTATGAATGAGATATATTTCTTTGGCATCTCTTAACATCATAACTCTATGAATGAGATATATTTCTTTGGCATCTCTTAACATCTCTGAAAACCACATTATATTTCTTTGGCAGCTCCCAACAGAAAACAATCATAAATGCAATGGCAGTCAATGAGGATGGTGTGATGGCAACAGCAGGTACATTGCATGTGTAGTGTCATTTTATCACCTAAACTTTTGTCCCGAGTGAATGTGAAAGATTCTGTCAATATTTTCTATGTGAGAATTATTTACTCTATTTCATCCAGTTTATGTAACAGCTCAAGAGTGTTGGGAAATTGAAGAAATAACGTCCAAGAAATGAGTGTGGCTGAGATGAGGATGTTGAGATAGATGACTAGCAAGGCTAGAGCAGATGGAACCAGGAATGAGTGCATTAGAGAGGATTTGGGAATAGCTCTGCTCCAATTGATAACAAGATGAGTGAGTTGGTTACCAATAGCTTTTCTCCATTGGTAACCAATGGCTGCGCCAGTGAGTGAGTTGGTGAAAGTAAAAGCCTCTAAAAGAGCAAGGGGAAGAGGAAAGAAAACGTGACTTAAGGTGGCAGAAAATGTTATGAAGACTCTCAATTTGTCAGAAAATGTTGCTCTTGATAGCACACTATGGTGGCACAGGATTCATGTTGCCAATGCCAAATAGTTAGGGTTAAGTCTACGAGTTGAGTTGTTTAACATCTCAAAATTAAAATAGATTGATAGTACTTGTTCAACAGACAAATATGCCATGTTTACCTGCATTTGGAGTACTCATGTTGAGCATGGAGGAAAGAATGTGTTTGGGGAGAAGAATTTGGCTGTTTAAATTCAACAACCTGGGCTGTCAACAGAGCTATCTTCACATGACACATTAATTCACATAGATTCCTTGTAACAGTATCAGTGCTGGATGTGTTTCTGAGTGATCTACGTGTCACACAGGGAGAGCCCAGCTGTCAGAACGTGGACAGCCAATTCTCTATTTTCTTTTGGGCAGG